CATTAGTTTGTTCTCTGTGAGTCTATTTCTGTTTTGTTGGTTCATTTATGTTTTTCAAATTCGACATATAAGTGAAATTATATGGTATTTGTCTTTTTCCGTCTGACTTATTTCATTCAGCATAATACCCTCTAGGTCCATCCATGTTATCACAAATGGTAAGATTTCATTCTAAGGCTGGACTAATAGACCATTCTATATATGGTCTTTTCTTTATCCAGTCGTCTATTGATGGACTCTTAGGTCGCTTCCATATCTTGACTATTGTAAATAATGCTGCAATAAACATAGGGGTGCATATATCTTTTCAAATTAGTGCTTTCGTTTTCTTTGGATAAATACTCAGAAGTGGAATTGCCGGGTCATAGGTAGTTCTACTTTTAATTTTTTGAGGAACTTCCAGAATGTTTTACATACTGGCTGCACCAATTTGCAGTCCTACCAACAGTGCACGAGGGCTCCCTCTTCTCTTCATCCTCACTAAAACCTGTTGTTTTTTGATTTATTGATAATATCCATTCTGACAGGTATGAGATGATATCTCATTGTGGCTTTAATTTGCCTTTCTGTAATGATTAGTGATGTTGAACCATTTTTTATGTGTCTATTGGCTATCTGTATGCCCTTTATGATGAAATGTCTATTCATGTCCTCTGCCCGTTTTTTAATTGGGTTCTTTGTGGAGCTTCTTTGGTGTTAAATCATATGAGTTCTTTATACATTTTGGATATTAATCCCTTATCAGATGTATTATTGGTGAATATATTCTCCCAGTTGGTGGGGTGTCTATTTGTTTTGTTGATGGTTTGCTTTGCTGTGCAAAAACTTTCACTTGATATAGTCCCATTTGTTTAATTCTTCTTTTGTTTCCCTTGTCTGAGGAGACATGTACAAAAAATACTACTAAGAACAATGTCAGAGAGTTTACTTCCTCTGTTTTCTTCTAGGAGTTTTATGGTCTGGGGTCTTTCATTTAAGTCTTTAATCCATTTTTGAGTTTATTCTTCTATATGGTGTAAGAAAGTGGAATAGTTTTATTTTTTGCATTTATCTGTCCAGTTTTCCCAGATGCATTTATTGAAGAGACTGTCTTTACCCCATTGTATGTTCTTGCCTATGCCGTTTTGATTACTATAGGCTTGTAGTATAGTTTGTTATCAGGTAGCATGACACTTCCAACTTTGTTGTTCTTTCTCTACATTGCTTTGGCTATCTGAGATCTTTTGTGGTTCCATATGAATTTTAGGATAATTTTCTCTGGTTCTGTGAAAAATACCGTTGGTATTCTGATAGGGATTGCATTGAACTTGTAGATTTGCTTTGGATAATATGAACATTTTAACAATATTAATCTGTCCTTTCTATGAGTATGGTATATCTTTCCATTTATTTGGATTTTTAGTTTTGATATTTTTCTAATCTGGTGTTTAAACCTTTTGTTGGAATTTTTTGGGGGGATTAAGATGGGGATTAAGGTTTTAAAAATATTTCTCACTAAAATATATTATTACTTATAACATTCCAGAAGTCTTCTCTTACCCCTTGCAATCTCTCTAATCCTTTCTTCATGTTGTTCCTTTCTAGTAAACTCCACCCCTACCTTGAGCACCTGAAAATCACTGATCTGTTCTCCGCCCTTATAATTTTGCCTTTTCTACAATATAAGTTGAATCATACAGTAGTAACTTTTTATAGCATGTCTGCTAGAAACAAATTATCTTCTAGTTTTCTTTCATATGAGAATGTCTTTATTTCACTTTTATCCCTTAAGTATATTTTCACTAGTTTTAGAATTCTGGGTGGAAATTTCTCTTTTTTTTTCAGCACTGTAAACATTTTGTTCTACTTTATTACAACTTGCATAGTTTCTGATGAGAAATCCAATTATTCAGGTTATTGTTCTCCTAGGAGTAATGTATCGTTTTTCTCTGGCTGCTTTGAAGCTGTGTTCTTTGTCTTTGGTTTTTACCACTTCGATGAGGACATGTCTAGGCATGTATTTCTTTGAGTTTACCCTGATGAGACTGACCGAGTTTCTTGAATCTGTAAGTTTATGCCTTTTGAGAAATTTGAAACATCTTCAGACATTATTCCTTCAAATATCTTCTTACAAATATCTTTTCTCTTGTCCTCTTTGGAATATGTTAGATCTTTGGTATTGTCCCACAGCTTCCTGAGGCTCTGTTTACTTTTTTTCAATCTTTTTTCTCTATGTGTTCAGATTGCATACTTTCTATTGATCTGTCCTCAAGTTTAATTATCTTTCCTCTGTCATCTCCGTTTTTGTTTTGGACCATACAGTGAATTTTTATATCAGTTTTTGTATTTTTTGTTCTAAAATTTTTATTGAGTTCTGCATTATAGTTTCTATTCACTGAAACTGGCTACCTTCCAGTGGTTTCAAAAGTGTTTGTTGTTACTTCTTGGATCATGGTTATAATAGTGGTTTTAAAGTCTTCATCTGATCATTCTAATACTTAAATCACCTCAGAGTTGGTATCTTTTGACTGTCTCTCTCCTTGATAATTAGTCAGCATTTCTGATTCTTTGTATGTCAAATAATTTTGGATTATATCTTATACATTTTGAATACTATATTTGAGACTTTGAGTCTTATTTAAATAATGTGGAGAATGTTGGCTTTTTTGTTTTATTAGCCAATATACTCAGGGTAAAGCTGCAATTCCCAACTCATCTTCTGTAGACTGTGGTTTTAAGGTCAGTTTAGTTTTCAAGGATTTTTTTAGTGATATGCAAATCTATCCTGCATGTGTACTATTCAGGGACCAGTCTGAGGCTTGTGCAGTGGTCTTCTCTAATTTGTTTCTCAAAACCTCTGATATATGGCTTAAGGTCAAATTTATACACGCACAGTTCAAGAATAAACCCATGAGTTTACACATAACTTTATGGAATCCTTTTCTTGATTCCTCCCCCTTCCATACTCTCCAGCTCCTAAGGAGTCCCCTCCCTCGTCTGCTTGCCCCAAAGGTGTAGCTTTAGTGTTCCCACTCTAATATGCCCTTCCCAACACTGGACCTGCCTCTGAGGACAAGTAGTGGGAATACTTATAGAGACAAAACAATATTGAGATCCTCCATACACTCTCTGTATCACAGTTTCTCTAATCAAAGAGGATTCCCCTCTCTTAGATTTCCCGTCACCAGATTGCAGCTTTGAAACTTGAACTTGCCTGAGAGCAGGGCCAGATGAGAAAATCAACAGGGAATTTCCCCTCCCATTCCTTGGAATAGAAAGAGAGAGCTTTTCTTAGAGCTCTCTCTTTCCATGTGTGATACACAATTATGGGATTCAGGATTCCTTTGAGTCCAGTTGGGGGCATATAGGAGGAAATTACAACCCAGGAAACTCAGTGAGTTTGGTTTCACCAGTCCACCTATTACCTTTTAATTTTCAGAGTCCTCTATTAGCTGCTTCATGCATTTTGTCTAGGGTTTTTAGTTGCATTCTCTAGGAGGTACAAGTTAGGGTATGCTTTTACTCTATTTAACCAGAGTTAAAAGTTCCTCTTACTATTTTTTTTTAATTATTGTTTTCCAGATTTTTTTTTTATTTTTTATATTCTGGCTACAAGTCCTTTGTCAGGTATATATGTACGTTACATATTTTCTGCCAGTCTAGGTCTTGATTTTAATTTTCTTAATGGTGTCTTTGATGAAGTGCATTTTATTAACTTTTTCTGTTATGACTAGTGTTTTTTGTGTCCTGTCAAATAAGTCATTTCCTACCCCAAGTTCATGAAGATAACTTCTTATGTTTTCTTCTTGAAATTTTAGCTTATATGTTTAGGTCTATGATTAATCTAGAATTAATTGCACTTTCCTGACCATGAAAATGGTCTATTTCTCGATAATGATTTTCTTTCATTACTGTCTGCAGTGCTTTAAAGATTTCAGTATATAGGTTTTATATATCTTCCATTTAATTTCTTCTTAAATATTTTATTTTTTATGCTATTGTAGATAATGTTTAAATTTTTTATTTTGAAATTATTCATTACTAGTAAATATAATTCCAATAGATTTGACCTTGATAATATTTTTAAAAATTTAAAACCTAACAAACATATTTATTTTATGTATCCAATCATTCTAATACCTTATGCCTCTGTGCAACTGATTTCATTAGTATTACCTTTTCCCTTAGATGTTTTGTGATTTTTACTATGATCTCATGTTCAATGAAACTTTCTCTCTGGGAATTTTTTGAGGCCTCAGTTGAAAGCAGATTTCTCCAGAAAAGATTTTTAATTACTTCTTCCAGATACCTGGAAGCACTACCACCCCAGGATTGTTTAAAAATAAATTTTCAACATCTGTATAAAATAAATAGTATACTTGGAATATGAATTTGGACCACAAATTTGTATGACAGTTATCTTTTGAATATAAAATCTGAGTGCAATATTTAAAACAAGGTTCTCAGTTTCCTGCCTCATCACAGCTCTGCACTCCTTCCCATTTTATTTTCCATGCCCTCTTAAGTCCTAAACCTCTCTGAGTCTTTCTTCTCCTTGTCATAGTTTTCTGCTTGGATACTTAATATGCTAAAGGTGAGCCTGTGCCAACCACCCCTCCCCACAAATGTATATCTGGAAAATATGGTTTACCTGTGTCCACCTTTTCTTTGTCTAGCCTTGGGCTAAGAGCTAGAAATATCGATGTGAAAAAGGCACATGGCCTGTCTTCATGGCACTCACTGTTTGGGAGAGAGAAATAGTGACTAATACTTATTGAGCCTTTTTCTTGTGTTAGCCACCATCTTGGTACTTTCATATACGTCATTCAATCTGGTGAATAATCTTACAGAGCAGGCTTTCTCATCAGTATTTTGTAGATGAAGAAACCTAGGCTACAAGGGCTACAGGTAGAGTGTGGCACTGGGATTTGAGACCCATGTACTGGAGCCTTCTTTTAGAGGGGAGACAGAGTGACTGCCATGGCAGCCCAGTGACCTGATGTCTCCTTGCTCTCTCATAGAGGCTCTGCACCCCTGTGTACTGCAGGTACCAGTTCTATAAGACTCCAGTTCACCAGACTGAGGGACAGCCTCATAGAAGCCACGTCTCTTTCCAGGACATCAATGTCATTTTTCTTGGGGCAATGAACCCCAGAGAACTGAAGGAATACCTACAGGGCCCTCCCATGGTGGTGGAAGTTCATGATCGGGACCGCAAGTCAGAAGAGTATTCCCGGAAGCCCACCCTGTTTGGGGAGGACCCTCTGGATTCATACCTCAACTTCCAGGCCCTCATCTCACCCAGAGAGACAGAGAACAACCCATTTGAATCTCAAAACAAGATGTGGGACCCTTATGGGATTGCTCAGGTCAGTTTTGCTGACCTCCTCCTCGGCCACAAGTACTTGAACTTGGCTGTTCCCATCTACAGCTGTGAGCCCAAGCCCATATACCAGGACAGCAGGAGCAGGAAAGTTGTGGGGTTTCAGGTACCTACAGATGGCCTCCGTCATGGCCCAATGCCCATGGGCAACTATCTAGAAGCCAATTCCATGCTCAAGCTCCGAGTGGACATAGCAGTTCCACTGAGGGCTGTGGCAGAAGCCCCTGATCCAGACCTCACAGGCACCCAGTTTGGCCGCATCATTTTTGTATTTAACTCCAGGAAGATCTTCCTCTTATACAGCCTGCTGCAGGACATCACCATGATCAATGCCAAGGCCCTCGATCTGGACTCCTACCCTATCCAGAACATCCAGCAGATCCTATCAGCCTTTAAGATGCGGGTGAAGATCCAGGAAAAGCAGGACCTAGATGTGCTTACTGGCTTCCATCTGCTGGATGGGAAGATTCATCTCCTCATTCTGGAAGGCTTGGCTGACCAAGGCTTGAAGAGGCTATGGGAGAGCCACCAAAGCCGGTAGGTGGTTTGTTTTGCATTTCATGTAAAAGTAATGTCATCTGGATGCTAAGTGGAGAGATCTTTAAAGCCAAGCTGAAGTCCAGTTTCTTTGTCTGGGGCGGAGGGGATATGTTGATTAATTTCCTCTTGGGGTTTATTATATGGTGCTTAGAAAGGCTCAGTAATTGGAATTTCTAATAGGAAGAATTGATTGGCTTTAGGTGAAGGCAAGACCTAGGAGATATAGAGAAGAGAAGGTGGTTCAGGACAATGCATCCTGCTTTCAGACTTCTGAGGGGCCTATTTGATTAACAAGGAGCAGAAAGTTCTGTATCACCCTAAGATGGACACCACAAGGAAATAGATTTCAACTCACCTAGGTAAAACACACATGTGATTATTTTGAATCTAGAGGGGCTGCCTAGGCTACAGAAAATTCCCCTTTCCTAGAGGCCTTCAGGAGCACTTGATGGCTGCTCAGTTGGGACATTGTAGAGGCAATTAAAGTATCTGATTTCAGGCTGGAGCAAGTGGTTCCTCATGGTCCTGTCATTCTCTAGTTTGGGTAACATGATAATTCTCTTTTCTTTTTATGATTTTGAAGTTTGAGTAAATAAGACCATCCTCCTTTAGTCTACAGGCCCCCTATTTGTCCTCAGAGCTCAGATGCCCCAGAAACCAGATATTGCTAATAGCAAAGAGTCTAGAAGTTGAGCCTATCCACTCAGGAAGGGAGTGAAACCTTGTGGGGCCTGTCTCAATGTGCCGATAGGCCAAGAGGCACTGGGAAAAGCTAGTGTTAAATAAGGCTGGTTATCTTCCTAGAACTGAAAACATATATTCACACAGAAAACATGCAAATGAATGTTCATAGCAGTATTATTTATAGTAGTCAAAAAGTTGAAACAACCCAAATGTCCATAAACCAATGAACAAAATGTGATATGTCTACACAAGGGAATAACATTCAGCCATAAAAAAAGGAACGAAGTCCTAATACACTTTCTTCAACATAGATGAACCTGGAAAACATTATGCTAAGTAAAATAAGCCAGACATAAAGGCCACATATATGATTACATTTATATGAAATGTGTGGACTAGTCAAATCCATAAAATAGTAATAGGTCAGTGGTTGCCTAGGTCTCAGGGGAGGCATGATAAAAAAGTGGGGCATGACTGCTAATGGGCACATTTTCTTTTGGGGGTTATAAAAATGTTCTAGAATAAGTTAGTTTGTATGTTTGCACACATTGTGTGTACATTGAAAATTAAAGAACTGTACACTTTAAAAGGGTTAACTCTTATGATATGTAGGAAAGAATTCAACCTTGCCCGAGAGGTCTGGCCTTTGCCCTTGTCTTCTTGGGAAGTAATCTATGTTATACCTTATAGGAATGTTTTTGTTTAAGTTGGGAGCTGACAATACCAGATCTTAGAGTGAGAGCAGCCTTACCTGATAGTCACAGGATGAAGGTTGGCTTTACCAAAAAGGCCAACAACATGATTTAGGGTGGGAGATTTGGATTATGCAGTGTCAATTGACCTGGAGATTGAGATTGCCACATGGGCCATCAAGTAATTAATCAATCATGCCTCTGTAATAGAACCCCAATAAAAACTCTGGACACCAAGGCTCAAGGAAATTACTCTGTATATTGTCACTCATTAATGTCATAAGGGAAATATATCCTGATTCCATGAGGAAAGACTAATGAAAGTTTTATGTTTGAAAGCATCCTGGACTCTGCCCTATGTTATCTCTTCCTTTGGCTGATTTTAATCTGTATTCTTTCCCTGTAATAAACTGTGAGTGTGATCATAACAACTATCTATAAATTCTTCTAGAAAACTGAGGAAGCTGGGTGTGCTTTTAGGAACTACCAAACTTGTTGGTATCAGAAGTCAGGGCAGTTTGGGGGACTGTGCCTTCAAACTTTGCAGTTTGGCTAACTCAAGGAATATTGTATGTGCATTCTATCTCAATGAAAAGCTCTTTTTCTAATGCCAGAAATGATATAAAGAATGTTCACTGACCCCAGTTCATTAACAAGAAAAATTAAAATGCTTGGGAAATTAACAAATACTACCAAATAATCCATGGGTCAAAAGAGAAACTATGATAGAAATTAGGCATTTTTGAACAGAGCAATAATGAAAATAGTATAATATCTAAATTTGTGGGATGATGTTACAGCATTATTTAGAGAAAACTTTGTAGTCTTAAATGCTTATACTAAAAAATAAGAGAGACTGAAAATACTGAGCATTTGCTGAAAATTACTGAGACAATTGCTGAGAAGTTGCATAAATTGAAATAAGTGTTTTAAACTATGTTGATCTGTTTAAAATTTATAGGAAATTCAAAAATAATGCTAAAAGTATTATAGATTTCTCAATGAGGTTTCTCAATATAAAAATTAATATATTAATCTATTGAATTTCTAAATACCATTTACATGCAAAAAAATATTTTAAAAAGAAACAGTTTAAAAGTATCATAAAATATGACAGCAATAAATTTGACAAAAAGGAGCAAAAGACCTCTGCCATAAATATTATAGAACTTTTAGAAACATTAAAGAAAACCTAAATAAGTGAAGAGAGATACCATGTATAATGATTGGAATACTCATTATTGTAAAGGTGTCAATTATCCCCAAATTAGATCTATAGGTTCAATGCAATCTCTATTTTAAACAACTTTTAAATATTTTTTGATATTTGACATTATTTTATGTTAGTTTCAGGTATACAGCACAGTGATCAGACATCCACATAATTTATGAAGTGATCCCCCAATCAATCCACTACCCACCATAATTATTAAAATAATATTGACTATTCCTTATACACTGTACTTCATCTCCATGACTATTTTATAACTACCAATTTATTCTTATTAATCCCTTCAAAAATTTCACCTACACCTCCAAAACCCCTCCCACTTGACAACCCTAAGTTTGTTCTCTGTATCTATAAATCTGTTTCTGTTTTCTTGATTTGATTATTTTGTTCTTCAGATTTCACATATAAGTGAGATCATATGGTATTTGTCTTCCTCTATGACTTATTTCACTTAGCATAATACCCTCTAGGTCCATCCATGTTGTCGTAAATAGTAGGATTTCATTCTTTTTTAAGGCTGGAATAATAGACCATTGTATAAATGTACCATCTCTTCTTTATCCAGTCGTCTATTGATGGACTCTTAGGTCGCTTCCATATCTTGACTATTGTAAATAATGCTGCAATAAACATAGGGGTGCATATATCTTTTCAAATTAGTGCTTTCGTTTTCTTTGGATAAATACTCAGAAGTGGAATTGCTGGGACAAAAGATAAATCCACTTTTAATTTTCTGAGGAACTTCCAGACTGTTTTCCATAGTGGCTGTATCAATTTGCAATCCCACCAACAGCGTGTTGAGGGTTCCCTTTTCTCCACATCCTCACTAACACTGTTCTTTGATTTATTGATGATAGCCATTCTGATAGGTATGAGGTGATAGCTCATTGTGGTTTTAATTTGCCTTTCCCTGACGATTAGTGACCTTGAGCATCTTTTCGTATTTTTATTGACCATCTGTATTTCCTCTTTGGAGAAGTATCTATTCGGGTCTTCTCTTCATTTTGGATTGTTGGTTCTTTTGTTGTTTGGTGGGGTGTCTATTTGTTTTGTTGATGGTTTGCTTTGCTGTGCAAAAACTTTCACTTGATATAGTCCCATTTGTTTAATTCTTCTTTTGTTTCCCTTGTCTGAGGAGACATGTACAAAAAATACTACTAAGAACAATGTCAGAGAGTTTACTTCCTCTGTTTTCTTCTAGGAGTTTTATGGTCTGGGGTCTTTCATTTAAGTCTTTAATCCATTTTTGAGTTTATTCTTCTATATGGTGTAAGAAAGTGGTATAGTTTTATTTTTTGCATTTATCTGTCCAGTTTTCCCAGATGCATTTATTGAAGAGACTGTCTTTACCCCATTGTATGTTCTTGCCTTCTTTGTCATAGATTAATTGGCCAATAGGCCATATAGGCATGGTTTTATTTCTCTATTCTGTTCCATTGATCTATGTGTCTGTTTTTATGCCAATACCATGCCGTTTTGATTACTATAGGCTTGTAGTATAGTTTGTTATCAGGTAGCACGACACTTCCAACTTTGTTGTTCTTTCTCTACATTGCTTTGGCTATCTGAGATCTTTTGTGGTTCCATATGAATTTTAGGATAATTTTCTCTGGTTCTGTGAAAAATACCGTTGGTATTCTGATAGGGATTGCACTGAACCTGTAGATTGCTTTGGCTAGTATGGACATTTTAACAGTGTAAATCCTTCCTATCTATGAGCATGATATATGCTTTCATTATTTTTATTTTTTATTAAATTTGTTAGGAATACACTGGTTAATAAAATTATATAGTTGCAAGTGCACAATTCAACAATATATCATTTGTATGTTGCATTGTATTCAACAAAACAAAGAGGCAACCAACTGAATGGAAGAAGATATTTGCAAACAATACTTCCAATAATGGGCTAATATCCAAAATATATAAAGAACTCATACAACTCAAAACAAGAAAACAAACAATCCAATTTAAAATGGGCAGAGGACCTGAACAGACACTTCTCCCAAGAATGCATACAAATGGCCAAGAGACATGAAAAGATGCTCAACTTCACTAGATATTAGGGAAATGCAAAATTACAATGAGATACCACCTCACACCTGTAAGAATGGCTATTTTCAACAAGATAATAACTGTAATAATAACAAGTATTGGAGAGGTTGTGGGGGTAAAGGAACTCTCATACACTGCTGGAGAGAATGTAAATTGGTACAGCCACTATGGAAAACACTATGGAGATTCCTCAAAAAATTAAGAATAGAATAATCATATGATGCAGCAATCCCTCTTCTGGGTATCTGCTCAAAATTTTTGAAAACATTTATTCGTAAAACAAACAAACAAAAACAAGTTGTACAGGGCACACTGAGGCCAGTCCTGCTTATTTT